CAAAAGTTCAAGGTGACGGTGTTTGCCAAATATGATGGGGTCTCGTGTCCCAAGATGCACCTTTGATCTTATATGAGGAAGATTCAGCCTCATACTGCTGACAAGGACTTATGGTCCACTTCTTTCAAGATAGTCTGTCTGGAACTCAACTAGAATGGTTCTACCAGCTGAAAAGGGCCAACATTCATAATTGGGAAGACCTGGCCGCTGCTTTCTACAAGCAGTATCAGTATAACACAGACCTTGCTCCCACCGGTACACAACTCCAAAGTATGTCTATAGGTTCGAGCGAGGGTGTGATGCGGTGGGAGAACTGACTTGAGGTTTTGCGTTTGTATTCGCAAATGTTTCGGTTTAGCAAGATTCGCCAACGAATTTTATTTTATCCAAAAGGAAAGGTAAAAAAGCACAGGAAAGACCTTTGAGATTGTTTTTGGGTTCGGGGGGTAGATTATGAAAAGGGAAGGTGCTAGCACCCTTTTCATCCATGGTTTTCCATTGGCTCTTAGTTACTTGTTTTAGATCACTTGCTTTTGCTTTTCAATTGTTTGAAATGGTGCTTTTGTGTGTGGTTTTGAAAGTATTTTGAAAAGAGGCCTTTGTTTAGGCAACCTTTGTAATGATTCTTGTTTGAATGTATACAAAGGTGTTTGTCTTTTGAAAAATGTTTCAATGTTTGAAAGTTTGTTTGGAAAATGTTTTGAAATTGTGTTAAAATGTGTGTGATAGTTTGAAAATAGCAAGGATGGTTTGCAAGAGATCAAGTAACTAGGAGTTGTCTACCCTACTCAAAGATCTTTCCTACACATTTTTATTCCTTTGACATTGTTGTTTTACCACTGCATTTGGTAAACAACCCTATCTTTGGATGTTAAACGGGACGGGCATGGGTCATCGTATGACCATGATAGCAATGGTGCTAAGTATCTTAGCAAGTTTTTGAGGGACTAGATCATTTTTGTTTGGGAAACCAAGATAGCGTCATCGAGGGACTATGATCTTTTTGTTTTGTTTTGTTTTGCCAAGATACCTAGCATGCATACCATGGTCATTTTAAGGAAACAAAGTGGATGAAACCCTAGGGGTGCTTGTGTGCATTATGTTGTCATTTTTCATGCATTTTTGTCTTGTGTTTAGTCATGCTATTTGCTTGATTTTGGTCTTTGCATACAAAACCATAATCTTACTATCATGCATATAATACGATAAATTGCATAAAAGTAAATCTAAGACTATTACAACAATATTATGGGGAGGAGGATACAAGTTTGAATAAGGGGATATTGCTCAAAATAAAACCCTAAAACTATTATTACAACCAAATTTAAATATTGCACAAATAAATAAATAGACAAATATTTAAATGTACAAATAAATATAAATATGCAAAGGATATTTTTGTATTCGTTTTATGTATGTAAAATAAATTATTTATGTCTCAAAATAAGAAAAATATTAATGATTATTTTTTGAAAGGGGTGGAAACCCTAATTTTAATTTAAAAGAAATATTGTTTATGTTATTCATTTGTAATCAAGAAAAAAATAAAAATAATATGTACAAAATGTTAAGAAATAAAATATTGTACGAAAATATTATTTTAAGTGTATAAATAATAAAAATAAAAATATATAATATTTTTATATTATTTACAATTTTATTTAAGAAAATAAAGTATATTATTATTAATAAACTATTTTTATGCCTAAAAAAAATAATAAAAAAAATAAAATAAAATGTGAAAAATTAAAAGAATATTTTTTGTGATTTTAAATATTTAGAAAAATAAATAAAGTCAGAAAATCTAAAAAGAAATGAGAAAATAAATAAAATAAAGAAAATGGGCCAAGGGGGTGCAAATAACAGAATGGAGGGTGCAAACAGCAAGGAAAGCCAGGCCCAACCCAAACTTCCACTTCGTCCCTGTCCTTAGAACAAAAAACGCGCGTCCTATGTTCAAAACTGTATCTCCTGCATACGTGCTTAAAAACAAAATCTTGCAACATGAAAGTTATAGCTCATCATCACACGATTCTAATGATATAAAAAACTTGATCTAACTCTCAAAGACCAGAGATAATTTTATCACCCCCAATTTCTGACCTAAAAATTTCAGCATGTTTATCATCTAAATTCTCCTAGCTCAGTTAATATAAATGAAATCTACGCATATGTACAGCTCAAGCACATTGAAGACTACATTTTTTCTTCACAAACATAAGCTTAATGATGCCTAAATAAGGAGTTAGAAACTTGACAAATACCTGTTTCAGTTAAAGTTGGCTATGTCAATGTAGCAGCTTTGAGTGAGGCCTGAAGGTCTTTTGAGCTTGCTTGAAGTTGTCTCAACCTTTCCCAATGCTTTGCTTGCTTTGAAATGGCCTGAACCTCCTTGTAGAACTCAACCTGCAAAGCTTCAAAATAAAAATGGTGAAGTGTGAAAATGGAGTTACAGTGGCTGGACAGGTGCTTGGATAGTTCAGGTGTGATGTTTAGAATGTGTTTGAAATGATTCCAAGCAAAACGCACGAGGGAATATGGATTTGGCCAAGGTTCTGCAGTGGTTGCCCTGTTTGGGCAGAAAATGGGGTTTTTTGTGCTTAAGGGTGTTTGAGAGGCTTGGCAATCGTGTTTCAGGCTTGGTACAATATGTTGAACTTGTTTCAAATGGTTACAAAGCTTGGTTTTAACAGGTGCATAAGTTATGGACCTTTTGCAAGGTTTCTTATTTTTGAAGCAAAAGGTGAGTTGACAAAAGCCAAGGTTGTACAAGCTAGCTCAAGGCCTGCTGAGAGTTGGTGAGCTTTTTTTGATGTTTGTGGATGTTGTTTGTATCAAGAGATCAGGTCCATGGCTCAAGAAATACAAAATTCACTACGCCAAAAACAAGTTTTAGCAGCGCCTCTACTAAAGCGCTTATTGAAAAAGCGCTGCCATAGCCTTCACAAAAAACAAAATTAAAAAAAAGGGAAACCTACGAAGGCGCTTTTTTAAAAGCGCTGGCATAGGGTTCCCTACCAAAGCGCTTTTCAGAAAGCGCTTTCATAGGTATTTGAAATATCTAACCTACGAAAGCGCTTTTGAAAAGCGCTTTGGTAGGGAACCCTATGCCAGCGCTTTTGAAAAGCGCTTTGAAAGGGGGACCTACGAAAGCGCTTTTTACCTCAGAAGCGCTTTGAAAGGGGGACCTATGCCAGCGCTTTTTAAAAGCGCTTTCGTAGGTTGTTTTTATAATAAAATTAAAAATCCCTAAATCTTCTTCATTTCTTTCGTTCAGAGCTTCTTCATTTCTTCATTTCTTCATTACAGAAAACGAAACCCAGTTTGTTCATCTTCTCCTCCGTTGTAACTCCAAACGCCTAGCACCATCACCTTCGAATCTTCGGCCCACGACTAATTCAAATTTTCAATCCAAGTAAGTGTTCCTATCATTAAAGCCTGTGCTTCTGTAATTGTTGTTTTTGGTGTACATCGTGACTAGAGTGTTTGATTCTACTGTAATTTTGATTCAGGTGTAATTTGCATCCAAAAAACCCATCAAACTGTAATTTACATTCAGGTGTTGTTTCTTTCCCATTCAATTTCATCTCAACATTGATTCATCATCACCCACTCTAACTACTTTACTTTATTACATTAATTAGGGTTTCGTTCTCAAAGTTTCTTGTTATTACAAAACCCTTCAACAGTTAGCAAGAACGAAACCCAAGGGATTTTGAAGGTTGGCTGTTACTTGTTAGAGGAAAGATCTAAAAGTTCATTTCACTTTTTCCATTTCTTTGGTTTGAGGTAAGAATTCTTACTCATTTTTCTTAGTTTTAGATATTGCATATTAACTGTTTGTGAAATGTTCTACATGATTGTTCCTAATTAAGGGTATGTTAGAGGGTTAGGAAAATGAAGTTGGATTTACGGGTCCTAATTTTAGGTGTATACTAGCTTAAAATTCACAAGTACTTAAGTTGTTGGTGTTCATTTGTGTTTTTCCCTCTTTTAGATGATTTGTGTGTGATTAATCGTTAATAGACATTCATATATTGTCAGTCATCGATAGTAAAAATGTCAAAGGCAACACTTAGTACGGATCCGGTAAAAAAAGTCTGGGAAGAACGATGTTGGAATTTGGTATTTGTATTGTAAATGATTGTAGAACAGATAAAAGGAGTCGGATAGTAGTGTTACGTTATCGAAACTGAATAAAAGATGCACCTATCAACTGTGAGATTTGTGCAAAGAAGAGAAGCAATATTTTCAAACTTTATGGACTGTACTAAGAGGGTGTGAGTTATGCTTGGAGATACTTCAAGTGGGATTATAAATTTCTAATCCTATCTACACTGTAGACAAAAGAATTAATCACACAAAGGAAATTATAACATTACTACTAAAAAAGTTATAGCTAAGAAAATGTTTTAATAGGCTTGTATATTTTGCATATAAGTCTTACTGAGATTTTTATCTCATTAGTTTAAGTTTATATTTCAGCTTAAGTGCTTAACAGGACAGATAAATTAAATATAGATTACATGTGGTTTTCACAGAATGATGCTCCATAAATTTTTCCATGATCCCTTACCTACAAAGATAGTATCGTCTATAAATTGTAGAATTTCATAATTAACATTTTAATTAACTTTAAATACCATAAATTCTCCAATGTTAACAACATTACAAACCGATCCTGTTGAACCTTAAACCGGTCCTGTTAAATACCATAAATTTTATTCTTCCACTACACTAATGTGAATTAGTTCATAATATTATAAGTCCAATTTATTGAATAACTCGTAATCCATTTCATACAACCATAACAATTTGACTTGACTTTAAATATGAAATTTGAACTAGTGCAATACTATGTGAACAATTTGAGAGATAATCTTTCTCAAGTATATCATCATTAAATTGCTAAAGCCAAATTGAGGAAGACATTCTTTAAATTTAACTTCACAATCTTTTTCAACTTTGGTGATTCTTGTTCTGAATTCCATGACTTGATCCTATAAAGACTTGAAACAGAAACATGTGACAGGCACCCTGCCAGTTTTTTTAATTTTGTTAGCTTTTTCTTTGACTTTCAACTCTTGTTTTCTTCTTTGATCTTCCAACTCTTTGATTGCTCTTTGTCCAATCATATCTAACCTTGCTATCTTTCTCTTGTAATGTTCTATTACATTTTCTCTTTGATGATCCATTTCATTCTATAATAATTACATGAAAATTATATCATGAGTTCATAAAATTTAAAAGTAGAAATCCAACAAATTCAATGCTAACCTTTTTCCTTTCCATTTGGATTTTGGCTTGGATTCTTTTCTCCCCTTCCCAAGAAAGGATTTGGAGCTTCATCTTCTCATACCTGAATTTTCTTGCATTGTCAAGAATATACTAAATCTATATTTGTTGACTCTATATTATCACTTTAACAACTATTACCTCTTTTGAATCCTTTGTAGCTTAGCCTTTTCCCAAGCTTCTGCTTTTGCCTTATCATTTTTGTTATGTATTATAATCCCTTTTTGCTTTTGATACCCTCCAATTGAGGATATACCACTTGAACTTCTTAGAGGTAAAGCACCTTCTCTAGTCCTGCTTGTAAGATAAGGACTGAATATAATTGTTTGAAATCCGACTTCACTATTGTTTGAATATAATTGTTATTACCTGTATCCAAGACTGAATCACTAGTATCCGATAGTAATTAGTGATAAAGTTAGTGTTAATAGTGTACTAATGTGCTTTAGTTTGTTTGATACAGGTTCAATGGCTCCAGATAGAGATGCTCCACCTGAAAACCCACCTGAAAACTCACAAGAAAACTCACAAGAAAGAGTTGCTTCGGATACAAATGCTCCACCTGATACTGAAGCAAAAGAGGTTGCACGAGGCATCACTATTATGAAGGGAATCATTCGACATAGAGACCAAGGATTAGTATACCGATTGGAATGGAATTCTGATAAACAACCAATTGGTCCTAATTCTGCAAAGTTGACAAGTTATATTGGTACACTTGTCCGTATGCATATTCCGGTCTCCGTAGCTACCTGGAAATCGAAAACGAAAAATTTAGAATTGGAGGAGAAAAAACAAGCGATTTGGGAAGAGCTTCAGGTATATATCATATATGGTTAATTGTTGTTATTATCTTGACGATAAATTGTTTAAATTACTTATACTAACACACTATGCGTACGTTTTTTTGCAGAGGACTTTTGAGATACCAGATGAACGTAAAAGCTACATACTTAGTTTGGCCGGCAAAAGATATAGAGGGTGGAAAAGGTTTTTGACAAACACCTATCTTAAGGATAAAGATGGAAAATTTCTTGAAGAGGCACCGGGACGGCCAACAAAGTATGCGACCTTCATTGATGAAGCAGATTGGGCTGAGTTTGTAAAGCAAAGAGATGAAGCTTTTCAGAAAAAGAGTGCCACGAATAGTGAGAGAGCATCCAAACCCGCGTATCCATACAAAAAAGGGCGTTTGGGATATGCACGCTTAGAGGATAAAATTGTAAGTAAATAGAAATGCGTTTTAATTAATTGTCTACATGTGCATGTTTTAATTGACGATTTTATCGTTTGTGTCAATGCATAGTTAGAGGAGACTAAAAGTGAGGAAGCTTCACTTCCTGTACATGTGTTGTGGAAGGAAGCTCGTGTGGGCAAGAATCAAGCTGTCGATCCCGATTTTATCGTTTGTGTCAATGCATAATTACAGGTCAAAAATATATTACAGGTCGAAAATATTACAGGTCGAAAACATTACAGGTCGACTGGGAGGATTAAATTATAGGCTGCACATAAAAATACCTCATTTAGAAACGACAGCGCTTTTAAAAAGCGCTCTTAAAGGTCCACCTACTAAAGCGCTTCTTAGTAAAAGCGCTGCCAAAGACCAGTAAAAAAGCATAAAAAATTAAAAAAAAACGCAGCATACAAAAGCGCTTTTGGAAAAGCGCTCTTATAGGGGGGCCTATCAGAGCGCTTTTTCCAGAAAAAGCGCTCTCATAGGGGGGCCTACCAGAGCGCTTTTCCAAAAGCGCTTTTGTATGCTGCGTTTTTTTTTAATTTTTTATGCTTTTTTACTGGTCTTTGGCAGCGCTTTCTGGGAAAAGCGCTCTTAAAGGGGGGTCTACCAGAGCGCTTTTTCCAGGAAAGCGCTCTTATAGGGGGTCCTACCAGAGCGCTTTTTCCAGGAAAGCGCTCTTAAAGGGGGGGTCTACCAGAGCGCTTTTAGAAGCGCTTTTGTTACCTACGCCAGCGCCAGCTATTAAAGCGCTTTTAAGCGCTTTTAAAGGCCAAAATAAGCGCTTTAAAAGCCCTTTTCCGTAGTAGTGATTGCAAAAAGTGTGCTTTATGGAAATGACATTGTTATCTTTATGCCATAAATGGAATAAACCCTTGTATAATGCTATAAAGCTCAGAATCAAACCTTTGTCCAATGTATTTGCATTAAATTAAGGAGTGTGGAAAGGATTAAGACCTGTAAACCAAGTACAAGCATGCTTTGGACAAATTTGCAAGTTATAGCAATGTGCAAAATGCCTTGGACAAAAGTGATAATTTGCCATTTTCAAACTTTCGATTCTCCCTAACCATTAATGATCTCAGAGAGTTATTGGACATTTTGGAAAGCTTGTAAAATTCTCTACGATCCATCTTTGAAATGCATTTTGAGATTCAACTTGGAACTATGTGAAAAATTGCCATGAAGATAGGTCAACATCCTACCTAAACTAGGGCAAAATTTCACTAAGTTAGAAAGTTTTTGGACCCTTATTCACAAAATCATAACTTGATATCCAAGCATCTTTTTGGAAAACTTTGTGAATAAAAGTTGTAGACTTTGTGGAAGACTACAACTTTTATGTTGGAAGTTTTCTTTGAATCCAATTGCATCATGGTGAAAAAGTTGGGAAAAGTTGGAAAAAAATAAGAAATTTTCATAACTTAGAAAATTTCTAAGTTATGAAAGTTTTCCATTTTAAACCCTAATTTCCAAAATTAGGTTTCTTGGTGAACAAGTTTCATGTTTTGACACATCTTGATGAAAAATGACCCTTGGCACTTGATTTTGACCAAAAAGTCAAAGTTTGACTTTTCAGTGTACAGTTGATTGGAAAATTTATCTGTCAATCCAATGCAATTGAGATCTTTTGAACCTTGTGATTAGGTAAAGATGATGCCATGGAGTCCTTGAAACCATGCTTGAACCCAATTTGCCATTGGCTATGTTGTACCCCAAAATTTTCCCTCCCATATTCCTCAAGATTTGTCAAGAATGATCTTCAAATTGCTCAAGATTGCTCAAGGGTTGTACAGTCAAATCACCTCCTAAGGCAGTCAATTCAAAATTAGGGTTTTGGTTCTTTCAAGGAATTTGGGGTTTTCAATGGTTCAATCAAGTCTCATAGGCCTATATACATTCTCTAGCACCTACATACCAAGTTTCAAGACTCACAGTGTCAGTTTGCACAGTCAAAAGCTCCATTTGATCTACAGTCAACTGCAAGGGCAAAATGGTCATTTTACAGTCAAAAGTCAGAATTATTGGTCAACATCTTATTTTGAGTTCACAATCATCATTTGATCAAGTCTTGATCATGATCCCACAAGAATAGCTCAAAAATCATCAAGATGCAAAAGTTATTATTTTTGGACAGTAGAAAAGTCAACTGTACTTTGACCAGGGCATAACTCTTTCATGGTTTGTCATAAAAATTCCATCCAAAGCTCATTTTGAAGAGGATGAAATTTCCTACAATCCATCTTCACACTCCAAGATCAAGAAATGCTCTCACAAAAAGTCACAAATTTTTACATTATAGGTCAATCTCAAAAGTCAACAAAAGTACACTTTGAGTCAAAGGCCATAACTTGAGATTGGTAAATCCAAATGACATGGGACCAAAAGCATTGGTTAGAGGACTTCAAGGGCTTTCCAAAATGTCCAAGAACATGTTCATATGATCAAAATTGAGCAAGTTGTGTATTGGAGAAGTTGGGAAATTTTCATGAATTTGCAAAAGTCAACTTTGCTCAAAACACCTTCTTTTTGCTAATGGGCCTCAAATCTCTTTTTGAAACTTCACCCATGACCTATGCACGACCAACCAAGTTAAATTGGATTTAGTTTCTTAAATTTATTGATTAAATGGATTTTTAATACATATTAATTCATTTAATTAATTTAAATCATAAGAAAATACAAGATTTGATTTTTAAATCAATTTGTGAACCAAATATGATCCAAATATGCTGACCAATTCGTGCACAAGCTAAAAGATACAAAAAATCCAATTTTGGCAACTTGTTCAATCTTGGAAAATCAAGAATATTTGATTTATCAATCAAAGATTTAATCTTCAATGCACATGGGTATGGGTCCAAATTTTTACCTAAATTGATTCCCTTATATGCAAGCAAGCCAACCATAACCTGAGACACGAGAAAAAGCTGCAGAAACGGCCATATCAATTTCAAGAATTTTCAAGAAAACTCAAAACCTGTTCTTGCATTCTAGGCCAATTCAAGGTGCCTTGTCCATCCAAACACATTGTAGGAAGTCCCAGGAGTGATTTGCAATCAAATTCAGGCACCAAAGCTCAAGGAATCACGAAATACAGTTTCACGGTTTGCACTTATAATTCAAAATCATATCTCTTAATTCATACGCATTTGACATGTTTTTGTGATTGATTTGTGTTGCTAGAGATCATACAAAGCTAATGGAATGATTGAATTGAACTGTAATGCCCTAAACCGAGAGATGCCATGATTGAATTTCTAGGGTTTTCAAGCTTTCAAATAGGGCTTTCCAATCCAGGAAAAATTGGAACCAATGGGATACATGGTTAAAATCGTGAGACCAAGACGATTGGAACACATACCTCGCGAAATATTTATGTTTGCTGTGTGTCTATTCGCTATTTTTCGTGCAGGGAGGTAGTGGAGGTTGAAAACCCCCGCTATCTGATTCTATTTTATGCAGGACAAAGGTTGAAGGTGATGACGTGCGTTCATCTGATTCGTGTGTTTGAAAAAAAGCGCGCTTTATTTTTATTTACAGCATATTGATTTGTTTTCATATATAATAATTGCCTCTTATTCCTATGAAAATTGAAGCAGCTTGGTTGGGTGGTAAACGTGTTGGCCAATGAGCATTGGGACCTGGGTTCGAATCCTAGGTCCCCAAAAAATGCTTATTATTATTTTCTTGCATATATTCCAATGGATTTCCAGGTATGAAGACCACCATACGTCTCAAATCTCAGTGCGCCAGATGGCTCCAGGCCAAGATCCAGTGGTCAAAATTGAAGGACCACCATACTCCCTGGTCAACATACGCGTGGATAACTTGAAAAGTCAAACGAGGCTGGAATGTTAATGGGCTTCAGATTTGCTCTTGACTCTCCCAAATCAGGCCCAGCACCCCCTGGATTTATTTCTTCTTCTCTTTTTATTTAATTTGTTTTTATTAATTCTTAATTAACTACTAACTAAAATAATTAACATTTTCTTAATAAAATTCAGAAAACATAGAAAATAGATAATATTTTTTATTTTATTAAATTTAATTAGTTTATTTTGTAAATAAATATTAACTTAATTTGTTTAGTTTTAATTAGGCATAATATTAATATTTTTTGCAATAAATTTAAAATTAATGTAGAATTAGGATTCTTGACAATTTTAATCATCTTCATTTTTATTTCCCTAAATATTCTAAAAAACCAAAAAAATATCCTTTTTATTTAATTAATTAATTAGTTTAGGTTTAATTTAATAAAATGCAAGAAATAACAAAAAATCTCTTTCTTTCCTAAAAAGGGTCAAAACCCTAAAAAACTCTCTGATTTAATTTTTTTCTCGCGCGTACTATTTT